GTAAGTCTGCTTGGCGTCGAGGGCGGCGACGAACTGGAGTGGGAGACTTCGGGTGCTGGCGATGAGAAGGTGTTGAAGGTGAACGTTGATGAAGCGCTCATTGATGCGGACCAGTTTGGCTGGGTCTTCAAGGTGTTGTATGTGTTCTAATTAGCGAACCTCAACCGCGTGCGCCCAAATGGGCGACATTGTTTCTCCCACGCTTCAAAGTGCGACATACAAAAAGAATTTCCTCAATGAGGGCAAAAGATTGCGCCGAGGGGGAATCGAACCCCCGGCTCCCCGACGCTGCTCGATGGCAACGGAGAATTTTACCACTAAACCATCGGCGCTGATGGATACTCAGGCTATTCGGACGCTAGCCTACGAAGCTTCACGCCAAGCCCTACCCTCCGTCCTGTCCACAAACCCTTCGCGTAAGACCCTCTTCATGTCAAAAGTTTCCTCATTTCCGTCTTCGGTTATCTTGATATAAGACCAAAAACATGTGGAGGTCAGTCACTTCCAGGATAAGCAATCGCCTCTCTCTAAACAGTACCCGACCACGCTTAAGCCTCGTGTTGGACAGCGTTGGCCATGTTGTGCCAAGTACGATACTTGGAAATGTCAAAACCCGCATCTGACATCTTTCTGGTGTGAAACAGGTGGTATGAATGAGTTGACTAGTACTTTTCAATAATCACGTCTATGCTTCTATGGGTATCTAATATGTCTGCCTCTCCATCAGCTCCGGCTCGTCGCTCTTGCGTCCCTTCTTCTCCTTCTTCTCTTCGCTAATGCGGCATAATGTATCAAATCTGTGAAGCACAGCCTGGACCTCAAAGTTGCTGTTGCTAGCCAGATAATCGCCTTCTGCTTGGCGGGCGGCAGCAATGTTACGGCGCGTCTTCGAATGAACGGCTGTTCGAATGCTTTTGTAGATCCCCTGTCCAGGATACGCCACGATTCCCAATGTTGCTGTATCACAATGTTAGTCTCGCTTGCAAATCTTTCGGCTGCCAGTTGACACATACCTGATGCTGTTTTGGTGGCCATATTCAGAACACCCTTGCCAACTCCCAAGGCCGCCCCAGCTGCGCCTCCATCACGTCCTCCCTTGTACGGCTGTACAAATAGGTCGGCAAAACCCTCACTTAGACCGACAACGAAGTGCTTTCCTCCCTCGATGGTACCGGACTTCCAATCATTGATCGGCTTCCGCTGTTCGACCTTCTCTCCGTACAGCTTGGGCACGTTTCGCAGACCGTCCGTCACGGCAAGCGGCACATCGAGGTAGAATTTGCCATACGCCTTGAAAAAGCCACCGACACCCGATGCTGAGGCTTTCAAAACGGCGCCGGTGGTGCTTCCACTGGCACTGGTGCTACCAGTGCTACTACCGGGCCCCGCGCTTCGTGGACGTTCAAGCGCCTCAGATGACGGGGGAGCAAGGCTGGCGGATGCGGATCGGGTCGGTGTTTGGCTGCCGCTGCTAATGGTGTCTTCCATCTCGGCCGATTTCATCTTCGATCGTTCGTGGTACGTTTGTACAGGCTTGACGACGATGTCAGTTGCGCCCTTGAACATTCCTGTCGCAGCCCCAAGGAGTGCTGAGCTTGCACCGGTGACTGGGTCCCATCGTCGGTTCTCGATGATGATGCTTCTCGTGTCGTGTCTATGCGATTACAAGTATCAGTATTGTGTCGGTTGAGGTCCAACGTCGGGGAACCTTACGGTGACATATTCTTTTGACCAATCTTGAGGTGGTCGAGGAGAATACCGGCCGCCTTTTTGGAGAGCTTTACGTGCTTCTTGCCCCTTTTGTATTCCCACGTTGCAGGTTGATCCGGGAAGATATCGCATGGCAGATCTTCCAGGGGCAAATTGGCGTGGAAAGACTTTACCGCTGTCGCTACGCCATTTTCTGTCCTCATCTTCGCGGCGAGCTCACCTGCGGCTGCCAGTGCTTCTGGCGTTAGGCAAAACCGGATGGCTTCGGAGAGATTCTCGACATTCAGCTGCTTGTGTGGTATCGGCTTCGGCCCGGCGCCTGCGATGGCCACCATGTCTCCCCAGAAAGGTTGACTAGAGTCCGTTAGCGACGTTCTCCGAGTCGGACGGGATACATACTCTCCAAAGAACGGGACGATTGTGGTTGGTCTACCGTTCAGAAGACCACAGGCTGTTGTTCCTGCACCGCCGTGGTGGAAGACTGCCGCTACGTTTGCAAAGAGCCACTCGTGCGGGCAGTCGCCCAGGAAAAACACGTCGTCGGCCTCGATGCCTCCGAGATTACTCCATCCCTTGGATATGATAGCACGAACGCCCGTAGCACGTACCGCCTCAACCAATGTCTTGGTCATCTCTTCGGGGTGGTCAATCACGATGCTTCCGAAGCCAATGTAGATCGGAGTCGGACCCTTTGCAAGGAATTCGGCCAAGTCGGGAGGCGGTGTGTACTGCGGCGGCTCGCGGAAGAAGAAACCACACACGTCTAGGGACTTCTGTTAGCTCATGGACAGTCCGCAACATTCATAGACGTACCAATGTAAGCAGGCCAGTCTTCTGGCTTGGGCACCAAAGCTGGAGACCAGCAATAGGTGAAGGGGATTTTCTGTACCTCCGCAAGAACTGGGCCTTCGGAGAATGGTACTTCTTCGAGATCTATCGTCTTCCGCCATTCGTTGATTACGTCTCCCAAACTGCCAAAAGTCATCAGCAGGCGTCGTGAAAAGTCTCCGGAGTAGACTGCTTACCCTTGCCACGTCAACCACTCGACAATGCTGTAGGACACAAAGTTGGCCGTGCTTTGGTCAACGACGCCCTTTTCTCCAAACTTCAGGTTCGCCAGAGGATGTGGGAAAGCCCTTGTGCTACTCCACGGCATGGTGAACATCAAGTGCAGGGGTACACTCAACGCTTGCGCGCAATGCACATGCGCGAAGCTGGGCGGATTCGCGATGATGGCGTCCGCGACAAACGGCCTTCCTGTGAGGGTGTCTGGCTCGATACACGACTTCCAGCATCCTTCCAACATTTCTTTGACCATCTTGCGCTTCTTCTGGATGTCGCCGCCCTTCAGGCTCTTCAGGCTGGGAATCAAGCCGGGATTCTTGACCATGTAGGCCATCAGCTCGGAGGGGTCGCCGCCAATGGGGTAGAACTCAAGGTTCGATTTTCGGACAAAGGAATCGAATACATCGTGGGTTGCTAAGCGCACGCGATGGCCATAGGTCTGGAGCTCGTTGCCGAGGGCAATGAAGGGCTGGACGTCTCCACGGCTGCCGACGACCTGGATGACGATGTTGAGCTTGACTGGGAAGTTCTTCTTGTCCGCGAACCGCGCCGCTGCCTCGACGTATTCTGGAGGAGGGCCCTGGGCTGCTGTTGCTGCGGCGATGGAGGGGTCTTTGAAGTCGGGAACGAAGCGAGCCAGGGTTGTCGCGAGGCGGGAGTCGAGGTTCACGTCGATTCTGCCATCAGCTGTTTTTTGTTAGATTGTTGGAGTCGGGGTATTGGTAGAGGATACTGACAGTTCACGCTGTTTCTCTGCTGTCTCATGCTCTCGGCCATCGCCGTCTCGTAGGAGGGAAGGTAGTCCTGAGGGACAGTGTCGTCCTCAAGCATCTGGACGGTATTTCTTTTCGACATTGTGTAAAGTCTCGTTTGGCTCTCGAAAATTTGGTTCACAGAATAACGAGCCGCAGACGGCTAGTTGGTGTCCGGAGGTACTCCTTTGGTCGAGGGTCTCTGGTGGTACAGACGTTCGTACTGGGAGAAGAGAATGTAGGACCGAGCAGAGGTGAGGTGAAGAGTAGAACAAGAACATCAACGACAACAAGTAAAAAGGTTAATTCTAAAATGCGAAAGTCGGCTGCTGGAGGGCCGAGAACTACCGCGAAGACGGTGACTCGAAGATCTTAATTAATATTTGACATCCCACCTTGTTACATCATTCTAGAACGGGTTCCCCTCCATGGGGCCTCAGCCTCAAATTGACTCTAATGCCTACCGAAGCGTCTCTGACTCGGCGTGGGTTGAACCTCCGACGGAGAGAAGGACCCTCAGAAAGGCTAGACCACCGGCATTCCTAAGTGGTAGAGCCGCGTCATGGATGCCGCGCCGAGAGAAACAGACCATGATAAAATTCTTATCGTCGTGTTATCGCACTTTTTTCGATGGCTCTTTACAGCGATCGCGCCAAAATCCGCGGATTCGGCTGCCTTTACGTCTGAATGAGGTCTGACAGCCCCGATGCGCGTGTTGTTACGGTACGCTATTCAATGCGCAGCAACCCGTCATTGCTTAATTTTTAAGCAATTGGGTCCATTTTTAGGGGTCTCTCTGGCAATGATTGGCCTTTAGAGCCACGGAGAAACGCGCGGGAAGTCAGGGATGCTCGCTCCGTTGACGAATACGCGGATGGAGCAGCCTGCCATTCGCCCACCTCCACTCGGGCTTCTCGCTTTGTACCGCTAAAGGCCGCCCCTGAAGCCATTTTTGGTGTAGCGTAAGGCGTCCCCGAGCAGCACACCCTTGTCCTTAATCGGCTGTCATTTCATACGCGTATCCGATGCGCAGCCAATGGCCCCCGTGCGGATTTGCTCCGAAGATGGCGCCGGAGGAGGAGTCTCGGAGGAAGAGGCTCAGCCCTACCGGGTCTCCGCGTATAATCTCAAAATCTGCAAGTGTTGTCCATAATTCTGCCGTATGCAAGGGGCGGCCGTATCGATGGCTGTTTTGCATCACAAACAACGCGCATGTCAACACGGGCAGTGCAATAAAGGGGTTGGATAGAATGGGGGAGGGTAGTTACTTATATCGCCCGAGTTTCTAGATGGACAGAACTTGTGGATAGATCAGCAGCTTCAACATTGACATATACACTATTTTCCCTTTCTCTCTTTTTTCCATCGTTGGCATTTTGATCTGCTTCTTTTTCGCAGAGTCCAGTCTTTCACAGAATCACGCCGAGCAAATACTATACCATAGACTCAGGCCTACCCTCCAAGACAGACATCATGGCCGACAACAGTACAACACCGGAGGGTGCGTCGAAGGGCTTCGTTTTCTACCACTATGAGCCGTCCATGGTAGCAGCTGTCATTTTCATTGGTGTATTCGGTCTTTCGGGGCTCTTGCACATTTGGCAGCTGGTGCGAGCCCGAACATGGTATTTCATCCCCTTTGTGATAGGATGTCTCTGTAAGTTGCCATGTCAAATATGAAGTGGGTTGGAGCTTGGCTAATGTGGCCCAGTTGAGGCCATTGGTTATGTCGGTCGCGCTATGTCTGCACAAGAAGCACCGGACTACACCAAGAATCCATACATCATCCAGTCCATTCTCCTCCTGTTAGGACCAGCCCTGTTCGCTGCATCGATTTACATGATCTTGGGTCGTTTGATCAACCTTTTGGATGCCGGAAACTACTCTTTGATCAGGCCGAATTGGCTGACCAAGGTTTTCGTTCTCGGTGATCTCCTATCTTTCTTCGCCCAGAGCGGAGGTTAGTTCAAGGCCCCTACATATCGTTTCTGGATAGGAAACTAACTTCTTCAAATAGGTGGCGGTATGCTTGCAACGGCGAAAGACAAAGATTCCGTTAAACTAGGAGAGAACATCATTGTCGGCGGTCTCTGTATTCAGATCCTCTTCTTCGGCTTCTTCATGGTCGTCACCCTCATCTTCCACATGCGCCTTTCTCGCAACCCAACCCCGAAGACATACTCTCTTGATACCCCTTGGAAAGGCCTCCTTTGGGTTCTCTACGGAACCAGTTTTATGATCATGGTTCGATCGCTGTTCCGTGTCGCGGAATACGTCCAAGGAAGCGAGGGAGAGCTCCAGTCAAAGGAGATGTACATCTACATCTTTGACGCGCTTCTCATGGGCCTTACATCAGTGCTCTTCAACTGGTTCCATCCCAGTCGCGTCATCAACAACCGTGACACCAGCCTCAAGCAGGTGTCGAGCTCAGAGGTTCTGTCTGAGGGTTACTTGATGGAGAGCGGCCAATACCAGCAACCCAAGTACCAACAGCAACAGCATCAAGGACCACCGAGCCCCTACGAGCCGTATCACGGTACTCAGGGAGACTTTCGGAGGTGAAGAGACTCAGCAAAAACGGGGTGAGCTTCCCGCAGACTCTACGGTAGAACTTCGGGTGTCGACCGAGGACTGGAGGGAATGGGCATACGAGCCCACCGGTGGACGATGAGCGTGGTGACTTTTTCTTTGTCGAAGGGCATTTTCATTTGTAATTCCGGCTGGATAGGAAATGGGCATATGGCTGGGTGCTCGTGCAATATCTTCGCACATGGAGCGACTGCGCACGACATGGACGGCTTGTATAAAATAGACTGTATGATAACATAAATGAAAGCTTGAGGCTGAAAGAAGAACACCAAGAATGCCTGCTTGTGCTTCAATCTGTGCAGCCCAGCTAAAGAGCAGACCTACTCCTTGTCGCCCTCGTCGTCGTGGTTCAGAACCTTGTGGAAGGAGCAATACATAAGCAATAGGAAACTCATGCGAAAAGACCCTAGCTGTGTTATGTATCTGGGGTGGTAAATGCTTAAGATCTAATGTAGCATTCGGCAGTGCATCCGGACGCTCCGGTCGGTGGCTGGATCCACTACGCCCGATTGCTCCGTTTTCGGGTCCCGGCCAACCGATTGTTATCCGGATCAAATCAGTCGTGCTCGTATTAACCTTATCAGACAGCGACAGGTAGTATGCAAGCAATTGCATTATCTGGCGGTCTTGGCACTGCTTTCGCGAGCCCCGTTCAGAGTCCAGTGGTTCCAACGTCAGCACTTGTTCGTTTAGAGTCACCCAAGCTCCGCCGTCACTGGGCATAGCATTCAAACATCCTTTATTGGGGACTTTCGGTATTCTGAAGCGAGACCCGCACTGCGCCCCTGCTTCCTTCACACATAGAGGTCATCAGGGCAGCTTACTTGAACTACGCAGACACAAACTCCAGACCAACTGCATCAGCCTCCAAGATTTCAGCTACTCTTTTTTGCGGACGCCATTATCACCTGTCATCGGCGGCTTTCAATCGATCAAATATGCCCCGTTTCCATCCCGTCCACGCCCTGCCATTGCTGCTTGCCACCACCTTTACGATCGGTGGTGCGATGCCTCTTTGGAACCCGTCCGGCGCCATTCGCGAGTTCGGCCTTCCCGAACACATTCAGACATCCGGTGAGGCGCAGTCGGCTTGGAAGATCTATGGTATGCGAATGTCGCTGTGGGGGGTTGCCATGTGGACCTTCTTTCTCCGGGAAAACTTCGAGGCGCTTGATACTATGATGAGCCTGTTTGTGGGTACGGGAGCTGTCGACGGTTATGTGTGTTACTGCGAAGAGGTTCCAGGTCAGGGACTTTTCAGATTCGGCACCAGCGTCGTTCTTGGACTTTGGGGCATTCTCGGGGTGAATACCAGGTTTGCAAGAGCGTAATCGTGAGCTGCTCACAGCTCAAGCCTATCGACAACGACCCGTCGTAGGATGGTCCAAGACGCGGGTGCGACGGGAAGAGAAGAGCCAACCCACGAACGCCGTATATAGTCGCACTTCATAAATTGCGTGGATATAATTGCTTGCACTACAGATCCAAAGAATTTTCGATAGAACTCAGTCTTTGCGGGGTTCGCTCTAAAGCTGAGACGATCTAGGCATCCGGAACTCTCCTCGCCTTGGATCAGTCTCGCCATCAATGCCATTACAATGTGTATAATCCTCCCATTAATCGACTTCGAATGTGCGTCCCGTCACGCAATGCTCTCTTCACAGCTTGCGCATCAAGATCTTCTTGTCGGGATCAGGTTGGGTCTATTTGAGAAGTCAGCGTTGCTGTTCTAAGCCTAATGGAGCGCAGTCTTGGTGCGTAACTTACCACAGACCCGAAATCCAAGTTCTTGTATCTCTCAGTGCTACCTTCGACCATCTTGATGTCGTAGTTCGCCAAGGTCGTCGCCATGATCATCTTGATTTCGTTTACAGCAAAGAAGCGACCCGGGCATGCGTGGCGACCAAATCCGAATGTCAGACTCGTGGGGCCACCGACACTGACGAACTGGTTGAGGGCAACAACCTCTGCCTGCTTTGTTCCCGTATCTTGCTCCGTCTTTGCCTGACGCAGCTTGTAAAAGCGAAGGGCATCGAACTTGTCGTGGTCTGGGAAGTACTCGTCGTCGTTGTTGATGCCGATCATGGGGATCTCGATGATGGAGCCTTTGGGGATGACTTGGCCATTTGACAGAGTGAAGGTCTTCAGAACCTTGCGCGTGAACGAAGCTGAACGGGCTTTAGTCAGTCATCCAGTTTCTGATCACAGGCAGAACTCCAACTCACTAGATCCAAGGGCATAGAATCTCATGGTCTCCTTCAAAAAGCTGTCCAACTTCTTCATGTTTTGCATTGCAAGACTCGTGAAGACACCGTTGCTCTCTGCGAGTGCCTGTTGCACGTCCTCTCGAAGTATGGGGATCAGTTCGGGCATGGCCGCTAGCGTGTAGAACCTGACAAAACTAATTAGTTATCGGACCCTCGGGAAGAAGAGGATCACGTACGCATTGGTAGAGGTGACAGTTGTGGTATGGATAGCCGCGAAGCTTATGCCGAGCTGATACCTAGCAAGCTCCTTGTCATCCTTCTCGCCGAACTTGGTCTGCGCATCCATGATCCACTGCAGCATGTCGTAGGGCTTCTGGTAGTCGGGATCCTTGGCAGCTTCGCGTCTGGCAGTGACTACAGGTCTCAAGAACTTGTCCGCAGCATCGATGCGCTCGTGGACCTTCTTCACCTCTGGCAGTCCCGGGGCCACGAATCGGCGTGTCCATGGCTTGAGGTCAGAGATCTTGCGGATAGCCTTCATCAAGTCAACAGTATAGTTGATTGCAGCATCGAGGTATTCCTCCTCGCGGCAAAGCTCGGGGCCAATGAAGACGCGTCCAGATGCCATGGCGACAATACGCAAGAGCTTGTCCATGATCTTGACCTCGGTCCATTCTCCAGAGTGTGGGAGCTCGATGCGCAGGGCTTCGATAACTTCGTCTGCGATGATTGGGTTCAATCGCACTAGCTTTTTGTTAGTTAAGAATAGCTGCCGCTATGCAGCACGTAGATCACTTACCAAGTGCTGGGGTCAAGCTGCTCTTAACGGTGTGAGGCAGCAAATCAATGTCGGTCTCGACCTTGGTGTACTTGGCATGCATAAACTGCAACCTAGTATTAGCTGGGTCATCTGTAGACCTCTACCGTAATTGTTCCTGATGACGAACCTCTTCGATGGCCTTGTTAAAGCTGAGAACGTCATCGGGCAGTCTCTTCAGCTCGTTCATGAACTTGGGGGCGACGACAATGTTCGGTGATGCTGAAGCCGTCTCAGCAACTTGTCAATGGATTAGAGTTCAACTACAGCCAAGACTTACCCCTAGTCGTAGTAATCCTCCAAGCTCTCTCTTTGAACTGCAAGAATGTGGTATTAGTCGTGATGATCGCGCTCTGTCTCAGTATCGTAACTTGCCCTCCTGTATCCGTCAAGGTACATATCCTTCGCTGATCCGCTGAGGAACTTCTTTCTTCGACTCTCGGCTCCTCCGAATTCTGTTCCTATCATGGGCAGGTCCGCCCACGGGTCACTCTTGAGAACGCTCTGGAGTAGAACAGCAACAACGCAGGCAAACACAGCGGTCGCTGCGATCGGCCAGCGGTTGGCCAACTCTTCGAAGACGGTGGTGTCCACCACTGGCATAGTGGTGGCGTTCATGTTGGGGAGCATCGACATCGACATTCTGGGCGATCGGGAGGTCTGCGATGGTGTGCTTGAACAGATGAACAAACTCACAAGAAGTTGGGACCTAAGGATGTAATATAGTCTCGCAGTCCTTCACACCCTCTGGATCCGCGCTCCAGTTGGTTGGCTCCAGCATGACAGCAAACACCGCGCCAGCTACCCTGACCTCCTTGTTAGCATGGAGGTCCCCCACCATGACGAAAGGTACTGTTATTCTGCCACACAACCGACGGGAGAGCCTCGAACGAGTACGAGTAGAGCGAATAGCCGGTGGGTTACGAAACTTGCCCGCGGCATGCGAAACCGGGTGGAACCGCCTCAACTACCGGAGGGGTGGCTCTTCACCCCTGTGCCGATCAACGGGACGAATGACAAAGTGATCTGAAGAAGTTGCATTGGCGCTGCGGGCAAGTGTGCTGGGGGGATGCAAAACGCGGGGAGCCAGGTTGGGGAGGTGGACGGGCTTGACTTAAAGTCCGAGCCAAGGGTGACCGATTGAAGCTCGCGTGGTAAACGATGTACGACCCTATCGGTTTCGTATTCGCGAGTCTGATCGTCAGAAGTAGCCAAACAGATTGTAAAGCACGACGTCGTTTAAGAATAAGAACTGGACGGTGCGCCCTAGAATGCAAGCGTGGTAGGGAAGACGCTACGTTGCAGAGTCGCTTGTCCATCGTGAACCCACGCGATGTCAAGCAAGAAGCCGTCGCTAAAGCTTCGTTGGGAAACCCTTCTCGGAGCCTCGCTATGATTATTTCTCCCGCTGCCAAGGCTTCCCATCTTCTCATGCGGGAAGCGACCTGTAATGTTTCAAACGCTTCTATTCACGGTATGCTACTTTTCCAAGGCGGTCAAAGCGGCCAATGATTGGACGAAACCTGCAAATAATGGAATTTCAGCAGACTGAACGAGGAGCAAACTACTGCTTTCAGATTGCTAAGATTCTGAAAATGATTTATTGGTGTGTTCGCCCTCCCAGTCGGGACAGCAATACGTCGGATAACTTTGCGGGCGCCTAGGTGTCATCTCCCACCGGTTGACAGACGCCGAGGTCGTCATGCACTGTCATATTCACGAGCCGTAAACTTTCAGGAAGCCAGTAATCTCCCCATCAAAAAGTGGTTTGCCAGTGGAAGGGTCCTCGCTGTCAGCTCCCAGAAGTCTTGCCTCCCAGTAAGTCCCTTGCTCTGTGTCAGTATCCTTCTTGAAGCCCCACGTTGTGTAGCCTTCGGAGCCTAAGAAGATTCCGCTCTGCTTCGTTCCGTTGATGTAATGCGAGTACGGCTGGATTTCGGTACCATTAACCTCGTACATCAGGAGAGCGTCGTACGGAATATCGGCCGCAACGAGGTTCTGCCATGTGTAACCCGAGACACCTGTAGGCACGTAGCCTTGAATGCCTTCTCCGTTGACACATCGAAGGGGGTTCTGCGCCACGCCAGCTTTGTCAAGCACGGCCATCTGATCATTGTTGGAGTAAGCAACTGTGCCAAAGTTCTCCAATCGGGGTTGGCGGCTTCCGGCATGCAACTTACGAATCCCCATCGGATGCCAGTTGAGCCGCGGGAGTAGATGGCTGTCAGCCCGTGGCCGGTAATGTATTCGCCTGTATCCGTCGCCTGCATCGACCACGGCCCCGCCTGGCCGGTCGACGCATCATAGTCCGGGTATACGGAGCAGTCGCCGGGGATCAGCTCAGCAGTCACATTCGGTGCTGCAGCGGTGAGAGGCGCCGCCGCCAGGCAGAGGGCGGCAGTGGCGGTGACGAACTTAGCGAGCGAAGACATTTTTGGTGCGAACTTTATAAGTGAATGGTAGGGATGCTTCGAGTAATCCGTTGATCTGAATAGATGAGTACGATTGCTTCGTCGAATCTCAGCTTGGCTTTATAGGTATTACCCCTGAAAAGCATCCAGGCAGACAACCCGGTCTAGGCTTTATTCCTTCGTAAACCGGTGAACTTCCGGGACCGAAATGCTCGAAGGATCTTTCGTGGCCACATTACGGAGCTAGACACTCGACGGCGTGATCCTGCCTAAAATCGCGGCCCTTTTGGTGGACGGAAGAGTACGGGAGCTAGGGGCACTGAGAGGGGTTTAGACCACTAACTCGAGATTCAGGGCGAGGCCTAAGAAGACCCTGGTAAATGATCGACGCTAAGTGCCGTTAACCGCCAAGCATCGTGAATCAACGAGTGAAGTCTAGCGCAGCTAAGTCACTTCGTGCCAGAGCAGAGATAGTGTGCCCAGCAGGTGATGTCATTTCAAGGCAAATTGAACTTCGCTTAAGCCCCGGCGAGACCATTGTCACCCTGCGAAAAGGTAGTTCAGAACAATTCTGAGCTATGTGCCTTGCTCCCTGCTCAATTGGCCTCAATTGATAGAACCGAACATCTTTATTAGTCTGCTGTGCCGCAAGCAACCATCGATGGAGATTTCGGCAGCCGTGTTCGAATAATAGCAAGCTTAATTTTCACGAGAAAGATCCTAGGGAAACAGTTGGCAATTCGAATCGATTGCTGCTCCTAACAAGCTTTTGACGTGCACCAAGAGAGGGGCATTGGACAGCCTGCTTGCGCCAGTGAATTTTCTCCTCCCGAATGAACTACTACTTTCGGGTGTGGCGTCCTCAACCTTCGGGCGAAGCTTATTCTGTGGTGTAGCCACGGAGCCTATCGGATGGTGCCCATCATGACAAAATTGTTCGCAGGCCTAGCCGAGGGCAACTCCAACTCAAGTGAGTTTGCGGGGACATCGGCCGACATCACAATTCGGCCGTAAAATGAAGCGATCAGGGGTTGAGCAAATGAAGTGCAAAGGATCTGGTCCTGCCAACGCGCGTACGCGTCTTTCGAAAGCTTACCGGTGCCTTGCAGCATATTGTCCTTGGAATTCCGAAAATCAGTCAGCAAAAGGCATGGCGCTCCCTGCAATGAAACATGCATTATTCAAAGGTGAAGTCACGATGTGCAGCAAGGCCTATGACTTCTTTCCAAGTTTGAGTCTAGCCCCGTACTCCATTCTAGACATCTCAATTATTCCGATCCACTTGTCTATTAACCTTCTTTCGACGACATATTGGTGGTGACCGAACCCGAATTCGAATTGACTAAGAAGACTCTCTCTCACCCCTTGCCCATGCTGCAAGAGTTGTAATACACAAGCGCCATTGCGAAAGCCCAGCCTTCTGTTTGAGAGTTATTTCCCGAGCTCCTGAAGGAGCCAGTCTCCACCGACAACCGCAACGACGACAATGACAGCGATAGCAACGAGAGACGACAAACTCGACTGCAAATAAGACTGAGCAGCGCAAGCTGCCAATTCAAAGAACAACTACCCGGACCGCCCTGCTGAACGGCGAGAGAAACTAAATGGCAGTCTGCGCCAGGCTGACGTGGAACTCCCACCAGACCCAGAGCCCGAAGGTGTGTTACCTCGTTGAGGAGATGATGTAGATGGAGCTTTGGAGATGCCTTTCGGGCGTAGGTCTGAAACCTCTCTGCTTGAATCACGGAGAGCCTGTCTCGTCGTCAAGGGCGCGTTTGACGATGCCCGAGCTGGGTATGAAATATCTACCGCAACATAAGTCAGCTTGAATCTAAGTTGGTGACAGAAATAACGTACTGCCGTTGACAAATTCGAGGACATAGTTGATGGAAAGCTGCCTTGCTGGAGACTTGGGGTTGCCGTTCGTCATCAAGTAGGGTACCCCAGCTTGCCGAGCCCCCAAAGGGTCTTTCTGATTCTCGTAAAATTCGACGAGACCCCCAAACATCTGCACCTCCCACCAACGACCAGACTCACCAGTTCTAGGGCCTCCGTACCCTGCCACCTTCAGGCTAGATGGGGTATTGGGTCGATGTGCACCGGTCAAGAAATTGGTCAACATGTGGCATATTTCGTGAGCGACGGTGATCACCATCTGAAACTTGAACAACGCATAGCTGTGTCCCGCAACCTCTTTCGATTGCTGGCGCGCAAACAGCATGTTGTCGATTATGTAGCTGTGCAATTCCAACCAGACTGCCACTTGAGGCTCGTAATTCTGAAGGTTATCGCCCCACTCTCCCTTTCTCTTGGTCGTCACGCCCTCTCCGTCAAAAAGCGTCAAGAACACAAGTGGAAAGCTTGATCTGATCTTTTGCAAGAACAGATTGATAGTTAAGTGCATGTCCTCAGGAGAGCCTTTGTAGAGATGTTTCTCGGGTGTTTTCTTGGCGTTGCGTAATGCGACTAGTTGATTGGCGAGGTTGATAAGACTCTGTCTCCCTTGTGGCGACTCCAGAATGCAAAGTGCCATGTCAATGATAGCTTCGACGCATCGATATCTTTGTGAATTCGGAGGGAGTGGAACATGGGTTTCGTCTGCTTCTTCGTAATGGACGACGAGCCCTCCAACTCTCTGTGGTATAGACGACATACTGAGCTTGCCTTATCATTGCGTGAGTTCCTAGATCGCCCAAGTAAGGGATGGTAATACATACTGATTACAGGCAGATACGATCCCGAACTATTGCGGCTGAACAGATGACACTCGAAACACTCAAAATTGAATCAAAGGCAAAATCATGATAATCAGCATCATTCCAGGCGTCATTGAAGAAGAACTGTGCCTCTGATTAAATAATATTTCGCGTGCTGATTACCTGATTTGGGCCAGTCTAAAGGGACCTTCCCAACGCAACGTCCGCTCTTTCTCAGTGCCTCACGGATACAGGGACCGGCGCTTACACCAACATGCCCCTGGCATATTCTTCATGAAACCTCAGCCCAAGTCAGTATCTCATTGGAGTGAAGATTGACTGAGGGTTTACTGAGGCTGCCTCAGTTATACTTCAAAGACGGTAAAGATGGCTGGACAAGGTCGCTGCTGAGGGCTGCGGCCTACCTTAGCGACCGAACCAACAACGACATCCGAGTCTCTATCATACTCCGTGTTCGAACATGCGGCCAGTTGTGTAGCCCGTAAGACCACTGTGGGAAGACCGATGGCCAGGGGTGTTTTCAATTTGGGCGGAACTACCTTGTATTGCACATTTTCAAGATGTGGTACTTCCCAACCGCGCGCATCCTAAAGTGCGGTCGTTCCATTTGTTGGTGAACTGGTTTCTGAGAGCCAATCGGGGCTGCGCAACTTCGCGCTGAGGTACTTACCTTAAGGTAGGTACCTAGTGCACGCTGTGGGGCTTCTGGACCAACGGGCGCCTACCTTAAAAGAAAACCCCTCGTGTGAAGCATGTAGCGCTGTCAAATCACGCTATTTCAGGACCAACTGGATTTCGCCCTTGCAAGCAATGCTAAACTCGATCTCGGCTGGCAGGCAGGCAGGCAACCTACGCCCTTCAGGTTCTTCACCTTGCAACCTCTCCTCCATCTACCACGTCTCTCTCTCAAAGTTGACCATCACTTTTCCATCATGGAACCATCCACAACCGCGTCGCCAAACCATTCAATCGCAATGTCAGACGCCAGCACTACTCATCGTATCTCGGTCAACGTTGGACTGGGTGACGGCGACCACCGCGACACCTTCACGAGAGCAATATGGAACGTCCTGGCGACCGAAATCGCGGAATTCACCTTCGCACAAATCATCGACGGACTACCTCTAGCGGAAGTCGCGCAAGACAGTGGCAATGGATCATTACCAAACGAACATCCCATTCACGATCTGCATCAACAGCTTTGCCCGGGTGTGATAGAAAAGACACACGAGTTTCGGGACAAGTTCGACCCTGGAACAATTCAGATAGATTCAAAGGTAACGGCTCCCTTCCCCGGTATGCATAAGCCAAAAACTCTTTGCTAACTCATGGTCAGCTGATCAACGACTACCGCGCGGCGTCGCTGGGATCTCGAGCCTTCAAGGTGCGCCTGATTGAGATGGTTGCCGTCGCAGTCCATCAAATCGCAGTTGAAATCTTCAAATTGGACACCAGTCTACACAAAGAGGACGGTATAGCATCATGGAAACCTCCTAAAGATGATTTATTCTGGGAATTTTGCCCAGAGGGTGCGTGGCCTACACTCTTCAGACACGAATGGTACCATGACCATGATCAGTATCCTGATGGGATTGCGGATATGGTCGGATACTGGGCTGAGTCCCGCATCTTTGGCGGCGTAGTTTTATTCGACCGACGCCCGCCTGGTTCAGCCTCCGATGTGCAAGATGACTCCGTATGGTTCCATCCTGATCGGGAAGATGTAACGTATCGGATATTCCAGCTGAATGAAGACCAAAAGCTCAGTCTACTGGAATTTTTGACATCTGGGAACCCCAACTTGGGCCTTCTGCCTATACTGGCTGACGAGCATAACACTCGTCGAGAAGACCCAGAGGAGCCGATTGAAAATACTGGCATCTATCGCGATTCTTGGGAGAGAAAGCCGCTGAGTCCAGAGGCGTATGATCAAAGATCGAGGGATGTATGGGACAGTGTTGATTATCCCTTAATGTCAGACTTCAAACGTGCTCTTCATAGAGCGGGAGAGAGGAGGAGAAGACTGTGAGGCCCATAACAAGCATTCGAAGAATTTAGGTCCTGCAACGTTCAACTTGTGCTTTCCTGTTCGGAATCTAGTATTGCCCGGATTACCTGATTAAGGGACTATTCGCGCGACTGTGTTTCTATCAAAGTCAATATATTATTTGCAAATCATCGACGAGTCTCTCTTCAATAGTAGTTTTGTAGGATCATAATGGGGATAACCCCAAATGGCAGGTGCTTAAAGTGAACATCTTGTCTTATCAATTTTATTAGAGGAGGGGTTTACCTAAATTGGAGCACAGGAGAATCGCCGGCCAATTCCGCTTATCGCCGGAAGGCGCCCTGCGACCCCTCACTAATGGTTTCCCCTCATCCATCTACTCAACGCCGATTCTACCTCTTTCAATGACCATATTTTTCTCAATACCCCCGAGGCATATTGTTAGGCCTTTCTAGAATGTCGTTCAAGTCCGAGGCCATTGTGGCCAGGGGCCCAATTTCTAAGGGTAAATGGGCTATTGAGCCCGTAACACTTCGAGACCTGCGTGACGATGAGGTTCTCGTCGAAATAGTTGCGTCAGGTATCTGCCATACTGACCTTCACTGTGGCAACACTCCAGCAGACGCCGGTGTTCCCGGCGTGTATTATCCAAGAGTTCTCGGGCACGAGGGTAAGACAACCCTTTTCCATTTGTCTAAACTGCATTGCGCTGATAATTCCAAGGCTCGGGATACGTTGTTAATGTCGGCAATGCGGTTACTCACGTCAAGCCCGGCGATCCAGTTCTGCTCTCATTCTCATACTGCGGGTCGTGCCACGTCTGTAAAACAGGACCGCCTTCTCACTGCACAAACTTTTTCGAGATCAACTTTATGGGCGAGCCCGTCTTCTCTGACGGAATTGGGGGACGATTCTTCGGGCAGTCAAGTCTTGCGCACCACACCGTTGTTAGTGACAAGTCGGTCGTCAACGTCGCCGGCCTTGGGCTCAGTCGAGACGATCTCAGAATCCTGGCACCACTTGGCTGTGGACTGCAAACCGGTAGCGGAACCGTCATCAATGTCGCAAAGGCTGGGCCAGAGGACTGCGTTACCATTGCCGGTATGGGAGGTGTTGGACTCGCCGCTGTAATTGCAGCCAAGAACCAGGGTTGCAAGGCCATCATCGGAATCGATCGGCTGGAGTCTCGACTTGAACTTGCGAAATCCCTTGGTGCCACTCATGTCATCAACACTACCGGCCTCGATATGAAGCAGGTGACGGAGAAGATCAAGGAGGCAGCTGAGGGAGTCGGCTCAACAATCAGCATCGACACGAGTGCCTATCCGCCACTGTTGGCCGCGCAAATTGATGGCACCAGGTATATGGGCAAGATCATCCAGGTCGGCACTGGAATGCCGGAGTCGAACATCTCGATCCACATGCAAACTTTCATGGTCAGCGGCAAACAGTACTTTGGAGCTGTGCAAGGGCACGTAAGGACGAGAGATTACGTTCCTCAGATGGTTCAATGGTGGAGAGATGGTAAATTCCCAGTCGAGAAGCTAGTGAAGGTTTTTGAGCATCCCAACTTTGAACAAGCCGTAGAGGCGATGAAGAAAGGCGATGTTGTAAAGCCGATTATTGCCTGGTCTTGAATCGAACAGCTTCATAGAAAAAAGCCTGTCTCTATCTCTTCTTTACAAGGCCTGGGGTTTTCATTGAATGACGACAATGGTTGAATTATAAAAACAATTACTGTCCCGAAGCCTTTGATTGAGTCGGTCTCCGTTGGGGCCAAGTTGCTCCATGACGCCGTCTTGGCGTTCGCCCACGAGCATACCGGAGTAGTCCGGGTGGAGTTTGGACGGACTTGTAAGTCTAAGCAGCGGAGTTCATCGGGCCAACGCCGAATTGAACAGGATGATCCGGAACTCATTCAGACTATATTCCACCTGCTTTACGCATCTTCGGGGCCGCGGGTTCCGACAAGAGAGAGGTGTCGTGTTGAGGGCGCATATATCTTCAATCCTGTTCCCCGTAGTTGGGCCAGCTTCTAAGTTCTGCTCGGTGGTCAGGTTGACATTCTAATCGAACTTCAATATTCTCTCTTACCATCTAGCTGTACACAGTTCATTCTAAGCTTTTTGGGGCAGGGCAAATACCATGCCAGTCAAAGCAGCTTTCGTTGGGGCGACTGGGGCAACTCTCAGTCATGTCCTTGCCTGGACACTAATGGCTGGTCACAAAGCTGCAGCACGTAAGTAGTTCGGAAAACCTTGCAAAATATTTACATACACTTACGGGTTTCAATTAGTCGTTCGAGATGCCAACAAGTTGAGGAAAATGCTCATCTCGTATGACGTCCCCGAGTCCGTCATCGACACAAACCTCGCCATCGTAGAGGGTCCATCTTCCCGCTCTGTACATGCATGTGTTGAGCTTCTCCATCACGATCCCGAAATCATCTTCAGTGGAATCACTGCTTTGCCCAAATTTCAACTAAACCCATTCAAACCCGTCTCAATGCAAGACCTCACGATCACGGGAGACTCAGCCGCTGTGGTTATTGAGGCATTGCGTCAACTCAAGAATGCGGGGGCGATCGATAATAGGCCTGTCTTTGTTCCCATCTCTTCGACTGGGCAAGGCATCAAACGCGACCAGCCTTTGGTCATGATCCCACTGTACATCTGGCTCTTGCGCGTGCCCCAAGCTGATACTACGGCTATGGAGAAGGTCATCAGGAAGTGCGCAACAGAGCCAGGATCGCCACTCGCAGGGTACGTTATGGTAAGACCACCTCTGCTGACTGATGGCCCAAAGAAAGGTCTTGAGAGCCTCAGGGTGGGCTGGACCGTTGAGGATGCTGGCCTAGTTGAAGGTGCCGTTCAGGAGCCAGGAGTTACCGTAGGTTATACGGTTAGCAGGTTGGATTTGGCGAACTGGATGTTCGAAGAGCTTGTTCAAGGAAACATTATGGCGTGGAAGGGGAAGTGTGTGACAGTTACATATTAGAAACCTGTCTGAGAAAGCTGAACGGTAACACAGGTCACATCAGGTACAAGTTCATAGGTTTCAAACTGGTTCTCCGTACTCTTCTTCGCAGCATGAGAATTAAATCCGCAAATGTTTCCGGCTTAGCATGATTAACGCGTTGACCTCACTCCTCCTTATCGCGCCACGACATAATCCTCCAAGCAATTGGAAACATGTCTGGTTTGAAATCGCAGCCTTTGTCTTCGCAACCTTTACATACATCATCCTCCGCTGTTCTGATTTCGAGTATCTGGGCTGCAATGTCTATCAAATCTTGACAGGGCGAGTCCACCATTTTTCGTTCCAGCTCTTCCCAGCTGACCACGTAAAACTCCCGTTTCCCACGCCAGAATCTCTCGGGGATATCTGCTGCTATATCTTCAGTCGGAACTCCCGGTCTCTCGAAACGTCGCTCCAGCTTTTGTCTTTGCTCCCGAGCAAGCTCCGGTGTCATTTTATTCGCGTCTGGAGGTTGTGCAAGCTCGTCTGGGCCAAGGATGACGTAAAGGACATCGCATCGAAATCGTGAAAATAGGAAGCATTCCAGAGAGTCAAAGACACGTCTTCCGCTATATGACCACTCTAAGCCAATATAGCGCGCCCTCTGAATCGGCATGGTCCATGTGCAGTCGTAGATATTGCATCGCAGTAGTTCGGCCTCGCGTTCCCAGCCTTTAGGTATAATAACAAGATCTTGTGTGCCATTGACCCAAAGAGAAGGAACATCTATTGTCTCAGGTAAGGGGTACTGGCCGTGTCCTCGGTTACTTTGTCTTTCGTCTCTGTCCCCTTCCGCCGAAGATCTTTTCAACTCGATGAGGTTAAGGACATCGTGCAGGGTGCTCCTTTCGCCTGCGTATAGTTGTAGAGCTCTTCCTGGACCCCAGACGTTGGCAAGTCGAAGCGCAACCCTGCGCGAAGCTCGGCACGTCTGAAGCAGCAGGGCATGAGGTGCGGTATATGAATGACCCGAAATAATAGACGTCGGGCGCGGACCAAACTTGATGAGAACTTCTAATGTGTGCCATTTTCTCCTTCCCTTTGGTGCGTTGACACCTTGCGTGGGTTTCGAAAAAGACAAACCATGAAGATCAGCGAAGTGAGCGGCCGGAGGGCTTTCGAGGGCCAAGCCCCATATCAAGTCTTGAATCTCTGGCGGAAGGTGCCCGAACTTTGGAAATGATTGCGTGTGGAGTTGGCTCATCGTGGACGATTGTCCTTATGGAAGACGTTGCGAAGGGACTGGACAGTATTCTGCGGTTCAGCTCGGGCTGGTGGATGGTGGTCAGGTAAATGGGGATGGCAAAAAGGACTTCAGCCCTTGGTAGGCGCCTGCGTGGATTTATGTTTCATTACAGTGCTTTACTGTTCATTCCTAGCGTTACATGCACCGTGCCGTGTAGCTATCGAAGCCGCCGGCGCTTATGTTGGGTTGCGGCAAAGCTCGTTGGATCCAAATCTTGAGGGCCTCGGTTACCGGGTTGACAATACATCGAGTCCATTTTTCATTTGTGTAGTCAATGAAAGTGGAAAAGAAGGTGGAGGAGTCATTATCCATTGCACGGCTTTGTCATTGTCAAAAGCTTGGTTGACTACTACTTCTACCCAACTCCCTGCCCTTGTGATTCGCCCTTGCCAGCTCATTTTTCAATTTCTCTCGAGTAATTCCTCTTCGCCTATCTTAGTCTGAGAATAGGCCAGTCTCATATCTTCAAGACTCCAATGCTGTATCTCTGTCCTCCGGTAATTACCCCATGTCAAATTGTCCGAAGCGTTATTCTGCACTTCCCAAGTCCCATTTTCAATAAAGCTTGTCATGGCTGCAGCAGTTGCAGTTGGCAATGAGAGTCTTGATGCGAATTCCCTTCTCGGTGTCGCAAATCTCAAGGAACGGGTTGTCACCGATCATGATGTCAACTAAGAGCTTGACACCCTTGTTCTTGAGGGGCCGAAAGATGGACGCGAAAGTTGACTCGTGGCGTTGTGCCCAGTTGTGCAAGGTCGGGTAGGTCTTTTGGTCGATCTTCCTAATTCCGTGGTGCACGATACGTTCGTTGTAATCCGGTGCCCAGTTTCCGACGACGGTGCTGATCTCTCTGAGATGAGGGAGGGCAGCGAAGGAAGCGATTGCGGCGGCGTTCTTGCGAGAGATATACTCAAGCTTCGGAAAGTGGAGTCGCTGGATGGAATTGATCAAGCTCTCGCAAGTAGGGGTTGGGAGAGTCATTGCTTGTCTGGCGTGCAGCTCCTGGTTGCGGAGATCTTTGCCGGCGGCGCAGAACGCAACGAAGCGGTCGATGTCGGGGCGAACCCATGCGTTAATGGGTGAAATGGCCCCATTCTCGGTCAACATGGTGATTCGGACGAGCTTCTTGTTGACCATGAGGCGGGTCTCGCGGTCGATTTGTGAAGGAAGGCGGGATCGCTGGAAGCGCTTGTTTTGCGAGTGCGAGGCTTCGGCGATTGTCATTTGTTGCTCTTTGACGACCAGCTTGGACGGGGCGTCGTAGCAGTACTCAAGCTTCCAGCTTGCGGGTGTCTCCCAGGCCGTAACGTCGTTAACGAGCGAATCGACGATCTTCAGGAAGAGTTCGCGCGGAAGAGAAGCTGGTCCAACCTTGCCAGGCGGGGTTTCCCGCAGCGGCATGGGCTGAGGTGCCTCCTTAGGTTGGAAGGAGAAGATTTGGATGTCTGACATCTTGTTCCCAGTTGTGTGAACTTCGGTGCGGAGGTTGTGTTGGCAGCTGCCCAGTCGTGTAGCAGCGAGAGCTATTTTAATGTCAGATCAAGATCGAATTCGAATTGGGAATAGAGATGAGACGGACATAATTTGCTGGCTGTCGGATACGTTTTCACCAGCTACCTGCCAAAAGTTGCAAAAAAGTCGAATATGTTGAGTTGCGAAGGGTCAAAAATAAAATTCAGAGGACGCTCGCTCAAAGCGGGCCGGATCCAGGTCGAAGGTGAGAATAAAAGAAAAAACAGGAAGTCGCATGTGTAAACGTGGTTGCTCCTTCCCGCAGTTGGCCTACCTCTCAGCTTGGATTGAATGGAGGTGGAATCTTGGTGAAGTCCATGTGAATGTTCGTCCACTGTCTACGAGCAATGCTTTGTCCCAAGCCTTTGCAGCACTTTGAGAAGTCGGGCCTTTCGCCCGCAGTAGGTAGCTAGATGCTATGAAGGCTTCAACGTGAGCAGGTCTCAATATTGAATCCTAACATATGTCCAAACCCCCATGGTGCCCTCTTGCGCTGCATGTCTTTGTAAAGCTCGTTGGACTCAGATCTCGAACTCGTTCCACAATTATCTCCGGTAGAGAAGCGAGCTTACTGAGTACGAATCATGAGGTTATACTTGAGAAAAGCAGCACGGAAGGCATGACGAACACTCACTCATTAATTCATTGCTCGACAATCTATGATTCCTCTGGTCCTGGCAGCCAGAATCCGTACTCGCTAACCTTGAACCTGATCCATTCTTGCCAAATCAGACCCTTATTCTTTACTGCTCTGCGTCCAACAGCAGACCAACATAGTCCATGATATATCTCTGACGTCTCGTAAGGTACCTGGAGGGATTCCAATCCCATTCCCACTCGTCCGTGATTTCAACCTTCACCTCCCTCACACCTTCGTCTGGCTTGCAGCAAGTGCAATTAGCTCCCAGAATCCGGCCCAGAATTCCCTCCTTGGTGCCACGAATCTCTATCTTAGGCCAATCCTGCATTGCACCGTAGAGCCTGACGCCTTTGTCCTGCATGGGCGAAAACTTCTTCATGAAACTCTCACCCCAAATCACCACCAATTCACCTAAGCAAGGAAAGGCTTCATAGTTGATCTGGCGGAATCCGAAGTGAACAGGTTGTTCCATGTAAAGGTAGATAATGCGGCGAACCTCCATCTGGATCACCTGAAAATTGGGAAGGGTAGCGAGCGCGGCGAGATCGTCGTCATTGACGTCGGTGATCCAGTCATAACTTTGGAGACGGACGTATTCGATGTGACGAACAAATGCGTTGCGGGAGGATGGGTAAGTCAAAGCTGCATTGAAGCACATTTGGTTGAAGTCGAGACCAGGAGACTTGGTGTAGAAGAGAATGAAAGCATCAATGTCCGGGCGCAGCCATGCCTCGATCCAAGCCACGCTTCCGTCCTCGTTTAGCATGGCGGCCCGGGGGAGCACTCTGTTGACCATCTGGCGGGATTCGTAGTTGATCTGAGAAGGGGTCGGGAGCGTGACCAGCGAATCATCTGTGAGTCCGTTGGGAAGAATCCGTATCGTTCACGATTCTCCTGGACGAAAATCCTGGACGAGGAATCATATTGGTATCTGAGATCCCAATCAACTGGCTCTTCCCAGTCGAAAACGTCCTCGATAAGCGCTTCGACGATGCGCAGGAAGACTTCGTACGGGAGATATGCCGGGCCGATCTTCTCAGAGTCTGTTCGCTTGAGTGTCATGGGCTCTGATTCCTCCTTGGGGGGGAAGGAGGCCACCGGTGGCCGTTTGTTCGACATGAGGTGGAAGCCACGCGTGGGTGGTGGCAGCGGACAAGCGTTGCGGTGACTGCAGAGGTCTAATTCCCGACCAAAAAGTCAATAAATGAGGTAAAGACAGAGAGGAGTAGTCGCCTATCGATATTTTTGGATAATGAATTTGCGATGTTGGTAGATTGTGGAAGACTGAGAAGAGTTGGGTTGTTTGTTGGTGGAAGAAGGCGGAAAGAAAAGGCGAAGAAACTTTTTTGAGACTTCTCGCCCAAAGTAGGCAGCAGGTGAAAGCGTTTGTTGGAAAAACGAAGCAGCGTTTGCCGCCAAGGTTGTGCCTTCCTGCAGTTAGCCTACCCACCCAAACACGCGAAAGGTGCGAATGAGCGTCGTGTTTGTGATGTCTCCAATGATGATTCTTACTAAGATCCAGCGGAACCAGAATTTGATTCCTTTGACTTACAGTGAGCAACCAGAACCTGCAAAGACACCAATAGTGAAAGGCCCAGATTGCTCATGTCGAAACATGTGCAGATTCTGTCAGTACCTTAGTATATCTTATTGTGCCTTCCATGGATCTTGGCTATCACCATCTCCATCTTCTCCCACACCAGGGCTTTTCAAGACTCGTCCATCACCATCAGAGTAGGTATTTTTACTTTAGGGAAAGGCTTCGCATTGATGTTCGCAACTTTTTGCAGGGTGGTACTGTCGATATCTCTGCTGGAAGCTGGCGAATACTTGGTGTCGCCTGGGTCTCTTTCCCCGTGGATGACTGATACGATACATGCTGAAACGCCAGCTTGTTTGTAGACTAAGGTAAATCTATGGCGCACTAATTTAATGCTTAAATAATAGAGTCACCTTGACTTGGTCGTAGAGACTGTCTGGGTTGTGGGCTTGAGGATGATATGCACCAAAGGGCATGATCACTGTCCAGACGCAACGACAACGCCGCCAACCTTCGGTCTAGACCCTAATACGACTTCTCTAGATATTTGACTGGAGTTGTCTCGATGATCACTCGTAACCGAGCTATCAATTGCAGCTTAGGGTAGAACAGAAATTGGCATGGCGTCTCGTGATAGCCGCCCAGAAACCACGCGTCGTGGCAAAGGGTCCTATTTCACAAGGGCAGTGGATCAAGGAACTGCAGCGCGTGTTTGCCGTCTTCGAATTATCCAAATCGAAATTACATCTGCAGAGTCGTCATCTGAATGTGAGGTCTATTATGTCGGGGTACGAAAGGCATCGGCTTGTATCTCTCTCCGAATTAATCTGTCAATGTTGTCCTTAACATCTTGTGATACAGATCAGAAGGTGGTCGAGCTGTACTATGTGTCTTCGGCCAAGCACGATCACACACGCCGAGTTTCTGGACGCCTTGTAAACTTCGGGTTCTGGAAGGGTTCGTGGCTTGTGGCGATGCTCGTGGAAACAAAGTCTCTCGGTTTCTACTGATGATCATGAGACTTTGGCATCTGCTCGATAGAGTTTCTAGGTTAACTCGAAGTAGAAAAGGTCTCGTAGCTTTCGTGTTGAAAATCACTAGACCCGACAGTCAGTGTTCAGACCATCTAATGCTCTCAAACAAGACAACTTTGTAGCCCTTCAGAGGACAACGTCAAAGCCCCAATGAAAGAACTGGAATTCCTTGAATGCCAGGTCACAAATTTAGAGGAACAACCGAGCTTGTGGACAAGAGACGATGATAGGAAGGAATCGAAGACAATGACGAAGGCGGATACAAGGACGAGGATAAGGACGACGACGACAAGGACGGCGAAAAGGACAACGGCAAGGACGACGACGAAAGTAGAGCAGTCAATGACAGACGCTTCAGGACTCTCCGACTCATCTCTGACCTGTTCCACCAAATATCCAAGACACCTGACCTTTCCAGGACATCGTGCCCATCAACGTAGCAACCGACACCCTCCCATCACCCGAAACTAGCGCGACCCGATGGCTGCCGAAGCCCGAGGCCGAGTGTAATGGTGCCATCCCCTCGGTAAGCTAATGAATTCACATAATCAAATGCCCAACGATCGCAGACTGGCCAAGGCCGACAGTCCCCCCTATCAGCCCGTCTTTCCATTTCTGCTGCCGTGCGTATGTATCGGTATGTGCGTACATTGTACATGTGCATCATGCAAGAAGGCAGTGGGTTGCAGGCTGCGTCAGCCTGCCAGACCCTTTGACAGGCTGATTGCTATGCTGCCATCGCCCTTCGACGGTTTGGGACATGTTTGCCTCCTTCGTTCTCGCCTCTATTTCCCCACAAGCCGTCGTTCCTTCACCGTCACCGGCGACCTGATGTTAGTGTCGAGGCGTGGCCGCATCCTGCCTGCACTCTTAATTCCGCTCTTGCCTCCGGGTGAGCACGTCGCCCATCTGGGGAATGCTCTGATTTCTTCCATCAATCACAGCCCGCGTCCGAGGGCGGGCCCGGCCCCTGTGGCCAGCTCCAGGGGTGTAGCTTATTCTTAGCTTGCCTCGCAGACAGCAGGCGGCGCCGGTTTCTCCTCGAAATAAGTTGGGGACTCCGCGATTTTTGGCATGTCAGATGGTTCCATTTCTCTAGCCTGCTCCGGAATGTTGGGGTTTTCGCGGGGGAGATTTGAGAGATTTTGGTGGACGCGGAGAAGACGGAAACTAAAAGCTGGAGTCATGCTGGGCCTCCTGGCGGAGAAATCTGGCATGCTTCCCGGGGGATTGAAGAAATTGTGCCGGCGGGATGAGATTGATGAGAGAAGAAGTCAGCCTGAGGCTGATGTGGTACACTTGTGACCGGACTGTTGGGATGTGCGAGCACACCACGACGAATCTCGCCAAGGCGCTTGGGAAGGAAATGATATCAAGTTCGCCTTTCGGGCAGGTAGGTGTTCACAGTCACAACGGCCAGCAGTGAGCGATATCGAACGCCTTGGCAGCATCGGGTGGCTTGCAGTGCCAACACGGGATCCGCGGATGAAATGGTCTTGGCTGTCCTCCAGTGCCCTATGTGTCCTCTGGGCAATGAGCCGCAAACAAAGCTTATGTCAACTCATCTCTATCCTTGAATGTTTAATGCTCGGATTGATTGAATCAGAGAGTTTTGCAAGGAAAAGAAACAGGAATGAACGGCGCGCTGCCGATGCTTTTCTAGTCAGACCAGACGCAGTTGCAGGGCGGACCATCATGTGAAAGACGAGGGCTGACTGACCGGGCCCCGTTTCTTCGTGTCGTTGCATGAGAAAGCGGGAATAACTGGGGCATAGAGATAACCTCGCGTATTTTGGCGCCGGGAGACCCATTCTTTCTCAGCTGTTGCTGCCCTCTCTCTGACCAACTAGTCGTTGTCATCACATGCACGCCCGAGCCTCTTGCGTCTTTAATCTATTTGACTTGCAGCTTGTCAACGCAGGAGATTGACGTTGCTGTGAAGTTTTCTTCATCTCATACAGGACGAGCATTCGGAGAGAGTATCATGATACACAAACGATGAGTGCAGAGGTGACGATGGCTGGGCCCACGGAGAGGCGTGCGCAAAGACGGGAATCGGCATCTGGAGTCGGCGAGGTGGTGGGTGGACGACCTGCATCGCCAAGGGCCATCATCCGCCTCGCCAGCAGAAGCGCACGCGTCAACGGAGCGCGATAAGGCGTGGGCCGCATGACCTTCGACCTCGTCTCCTTCTCGAATCTGATAGCGCACCCGCTGGTTGTACTGCAAATCCACAAACGTTCTTTCGCACGTCGAAACACTCACAGGCGTGTGGATGGTGGGCGTGCTGGGCGGAAAGAAAACGCCCAAAAACAAGCGTTTGCCCAGACCGAGACCAGCCACCACCCCGCGGTGGTTCGAATCGTCCTGTCCGTTTCCACTCGCCCGCCCACTTTAACGCGATTGGAAAGGGCCCGCCGCCGCCGCCGCCAGAACAAAAGGTGAAATTGTCATTGGTGGAAGTTTTGGGCATGGGGTTTCTCCGCCAGTTCGGCCCCAGAACGGCCCTTGACAGGGATGGCTGATGTTGGGGGCCCTCGTTCTGGGGAAGACGGACGGATGTGCCACACGCGGCGCGGCGCCAAGAGATTTCCGGGTCTGCCCTTTTCCCTCTCTCTGCTGATGGATGTCGCCGCATCTCTTGGTTCGTCTTGTCCCGTCGGACCTGCTCCCATGTTCTCGGCTCGCTGTGCTGTTGGACGGATGAGCGGCGGAATGGAGAGGGTGTGAAGATAGCCCCCTGTGCAGCTCACACACGCACACCTCTTTCGATGAGCAACGACCCCAGGCACATCATACCCTGCGGCGATGGCTTCAACCACCGGACTCGGTCCTTTACCCTGACTGCCTTTTAACGCCGCCGCAGAGAGAGAGCAAGAGAAACTCCACCTCCACTCCCCCGGAGCCAGCGCTAGCCCCGGCGACTCGAACATGCAAATTATGGGGAACCCTATCCCCTCCCCTTCGTCTTCCCCCTTCTTCGCTATCTAGACCCGGGGAATGAGGGGAACGAAGACGGGGGAGTTTGGGGGAGGATTGGGGGAGGAAGGGAAATTTGGTCCTTTTTTTGCGGGGATTCGAGGGTTTAGTTTAGTTTGGTTTGGATGAGACTGGGGTCGGTCACCTTTGTTATCAAACCTTTAAAGACAAGCTTCGCATCTCTCTTTTGACTCATGGCCTGATCTCTCTCTTCACCTCTCTGCCGGAGTTGTCCAACACGCATTCTTCTGTCTTCATAGCCTGCCTCTGGACCTAGACGACGAAACGCTTCCCCTGTGTCGAAGAGCCATCATTTTATCGGAACAGCAGCAACCAGGTCGTTCAAGATGGCGGTCACCGGCAAGAGGGTGTACAACTGGTACATCTCCCTCATGGCGGCCATGTGCATGGTCCTTTACGGGTACGATGCCTCCGTCTACAACTCTCTCCAGGGCTCCAAAAACTGGCTCGCCTGGGTCGACGTCGACCTCAAGAAGGATACGCAGTTGATCGGTCTCGTCAACACGGCCTACACCATCGGTGCTATCGTTGCTGGTTTCTTCATCGGTGGTCCCTTGGTAAGTTATGACCCCCAACACGCTCGGAGACCGTGATATCTAACGTTCATTCTTCATAGGCCGACCAACTCGGTCGCCGCTGGGGCATGGCCATCGGCTGCTTCGTCACCATCATCGCAACCCTCATGCAGACCTTCACCCCGCACCACAAGCTCGGAGTCTTCATCGCCGGTCGTGTCATCATCGGTCTCGGACAGGGTATGGCTTTGACCGCCGGCCCCGTCTACATCGGCGAGGTTGCGCCCTCCCAGATCCGTGGCCACATCATGGCCTGCTGGCAGATGTTCTACAGCGTCGGCAGCTTCATCGCCTACTGGATTGTGAGAAGCCTTCCCCCAAAAACACTACGTCAACCTCCCAGTTGGCTAACACATCTCACAGAACTACGCCTGCTCCAAGCACCGCGCCTCGCTCGGCGAGTGGGACTGGAAGATGGTCGTAATCTTCCAGATGCTCGTCCCCATCATCATCATCATCGCCCTGCCCTTCCAGCCCGAGAGCCCCCGTTGGTACGTCCAGAAGAAGGGCGACATCGACTCCGCCCGCGCCGCCCTCATGCGCATCCGCGACACCGAGCAAGAGGTCGAGGAGGAGCTCCTCACCATCCGCGAGGCCGTCGAGTACGAGAAGGAGGCCATCAGCAGCAGCTACTCCGCCCTCTTCAAGGACGCCTCCATCCGCAAGCGCCTCTACCTCGCCTTCGTCCTCAACGTCGGCCAGCAGCTCACCGGCCAGGGCACCCTCAACAGCTACTCCACCGCCATCTACAAGAAGGTCTGGCCCTCGGACGACACCATCAACCTCATCAACGCCCTCAACGCCACCTGCGGCATCCTCTTCACCCTCAACGCCATGTGGACTGCCGACCGCTTCGGTCGCCGCTGGCTCTTCATCGTCGGTGCCGCCGGCATGGCCGTCTGCATGCTCATCGTGCCCATCGTCGGCCTCAAGACGCCCTCCGCCGCCGACGGCACCAAGAGCGAGTCCGTCGGCATCGCCATCGTCTTCCTGCTGTTCCTCTTCACCTTCTTCTACAAGCCGTCCTGGGGCGCCACCACGTGGATGTACACCTCCGAGATCTTCTCCGTCAACGTCCGCGCCCAGGCCGTCGGCATGTGCTCGCAGATGCAGAACGTCGCCAACACCATCTTCCAGCAGTTCTTCCCCACTTTCCTCGCCAACGAGGGCCTCAAGTGCCTGTTCTTCTTCATGGGAATGAACATGGTCCTGGGCGTGTTCGTGTACTTCTTCATCCCCGAGACGAAGCAGATCCCGTTGGAGGAGGTTGATGTGCTCTTTGGCGGCGCGAACCACATCGAGAAGGGAGGCCAGATCATGGGTGTCGACAATCAACACCCCGGGACCGCTTCCGGTTCTGAGAAGGACGGAGCTCAGGTCCAGCAGACCGAGAGGAAGGAAGTTGTTTGAAGGAGTCGGGATAATGAGTAATGTGTTTGCTGTATTTGTCAAGTAATGTTGAATCGGCCCAACGGCTAAGCCGGAGCCGGTCGCGCTATACCCTCAATCGCAAGTCTTGAAGTTGTCAGCGATTAGTCGCTACATGCCCAATACCTGACCATCGTCTGTTGAGACTGAATCAGTAATGCACGGGGGTAATCGAGATTGAACTATGCCCGTGAGACATTATGATTCTTTGGGATTGTCGCTGAGCTTGGCTGAAAACGCTTAAGCGGTTGGCTGATGCCTGTTCTAATGTGTATATATATATCATGACTAAACAACATAATCCAACTGGTTTGTGCGATTCGGCAAGACTACCCTATGCCTGCGCGTCTACAGCTCTACCGGCTTCGCTGACGGCCAGGTTAGCCATACCGCTCATCGCCGCTTCCGACCCGTTTGGGGCCTTGTCCTTTTTCGGGCCCGACTTCTTCTTCCGCTTGGCCGTTCCCAGGCTCACCGTGGGTGCCTCGAGCACCCAGCGGGCAATTGCAGCGGCGCGCTCAGTCAATATGGGATATTCTCGTCCATCATCGACACTCCACCGCCGCAAGGCAGGTGAAGGCTGGCCAGCGAGACCCGTGTCTTGCTTCCCGTTGAAACCGTTCTTGATGCCTTGCAAGTAGTCGTGATCCTCCTGGGCTCGCTTCTGACGAGCAGTAATAGCAGCACGAAGGCTTGCCTCGTCAACGACTCTATCGTCGTCAAGGGAGTCCATGATGGCCTGCTGACGAATCCGCTCCTTGCGCTGTTCCTCATTCTCCCCAATGTGGGCCAGCGTGTTGCTGTCCTTGGTGATTGACGCAGCCGCAAGGGCGGCAGCCTTCGGAGACGACTGAATCTTGTTCTGGTGCTCAGCCATGGCAACGTCTAGTATTGGTAGCGGTGCAGGGGCGCAAAGTTGTTCCCACGATGAAGTCATTGAAATCCAGTTGCCAGCTCTTCGAAGTACCTCGATCCAATCTGCTCTCGCTGGAGACCGACTCGCTTGAAAGATCGGATATCCGTCAGCCAGACGCGCTAGTCGAGCTACCATGTGCGCGTGGCGCAGAAGCTCTTTCGTAGATGTTTGAACAAGGCAATGGCAAAGAAGAAGCGAATGAAGAGCATCCGTGAGCAAGGGATGATATGTAATGGCCTCGTGCTCGGACGGCTGGGCGGGGCCAGATTGACGCACGAGTTCCTGAGAGGGATACGGCGGGATGTCTGCGGGGGGGACGGCAGCGAACAGATCGGACAAGGGGTAAGTTTTGTAAGAAGGGGCAGGCCCCGAGTCGGGGACTCGAGGGTGACGGATACCGTGAGCTGCGAGATTAACCTTCTCAGTGAATTCTCTTGTCACCCTCAGGGGCAAATCAGGGGTGTATTCGAATTTGGACAGGTAAGCCAAGTAGTCGCGCAGAGCTCTCTTGGCGTACGTCTTCACGATTTTACGTTTCTCCAGACGTTGGCGCCCTGCCTCTTTCTCTGCCGCAGTAGGTTCTGAAGGCTGGTCTGACGGGACTTCGCCTCCGGGACTCGCATCACGAGATGCTTCCTTCGAGCTACCAGTCCGCGGAGATGCAGCTGCCTCAGGGAGGCCGTCAACCACATGCTGGCATGCCATTGTCAAGTATACCCCAGCGCGCTGAAATAGCAGCTGTGTTTCCAAGCTGCTAGGTTGCTGCTCCTCGGTAAGAATCACGTCCGGGGGTCTTCGGGATCCAGTGGCTAGCTGTAGATCCTGCGACGAAGGTGGTCGGTGAAGTGGCTGATGAAAGCGGTGCACTTGCAGCGCGCTACTCAAGTCTTGAGCAGCCCCCTCGTAATCGTCTTTGAATATCCTCACGGTAGCCCTGGTTCGAAGTGCCTCGCCCTCGGTCGGCCTAGCAGATATGATATCGTCCAAGGGCTGCAAACTGGTACACTCAGCCAGTTGCCTTGAGGGTATCTTTTCATGGAAAAAGTGGACGTATTTGGCATCGGGATCTTCTTTGCTGCGCTGCAACACCAGAGATCCGATCTCTTCAAGCGTTGACGCTCCCTGCATCGTAGCAACGCTGCAGGCGATCTCGTCCAAACGATATGCGCGGGCCAGCTTCTGGCTGGCCTGCTCTCTCATTCGGAATTTGCGTTCTCTGCTTAATTTTGCACCATGCCCGCCATACCCCAGCGCCGTATGTGAATTCAGTCCTCCGTGCAGATTTGCCAACGTTGGTGAGGCGATATCACTGGCTGCCCGCACTGCGAGAGTTGTAGCTTCGTCGACGAGCCGGCGGATCTTGAGGAGGTCGAAGAAGACGGCAGGATCGATGGGGCGCGGGCGCGGGGTATTGTAGTTTATGTTCGCAATCGTTTCGAGGATCTCGATGGGCATTTGTAGCCATGGGCCATGAAAGGATGAGATAAAGCGCCAATGCCTGTCGCTCAGTGGTCAGCCGTGCCGGGTTTGAGAAAAGCAGTGCCGGGTGTCCGTGTCGCATTGCGCTTCTGCCGGCGAGGAGACCGCGCAAGCACAGGGAGACAACGGCATCGACACGAGGGGCAAGACGGACTTGTTGCGACAAATTATCAGCGCGGGAACATTGTCCGCGACAGCACTCGAGGCATTTCGACCCCTAGAAGAGCCATTGGACGACGATTGCGATGCGCTTCCGCTGGGGACACCACCGTCGACGTCGTCAGACACGGGCTGCTTGGTCTTCTTCTTTGCCATGTTCGCAGCTGTCAAAGAACAGGGTTGTCCGATCTGCAACGTGCTGCTACGTCGAGTCGCAAAAGGTTGTCGTCGAATTCCCAGGGCACACGGCACAGACTCGAGACGCGAAGGACGTTGATGGTGGGGAATTATTGACCAATTGATATTGAGCTCATGGTAGCAATCTTAGTTATTTCGGATAAAGCATGCTGGTATCGATGCGTGTACTGTGAAGATGTTGATTGACGCCCCAATCCTCGGCGGTTTCGTGAGTCCTCGGCAGCAAAATTCCTTTGTAAGTCATTCCTGGAGATGATTGATTTGCTCTTTCCATCGAGGTAAGGTACCTACGAGGGGCCGATAGTGAGTCACGTGCTGACTCAGGTGACACTCATCAGTGCGTCGAGTTGGGGGCAGTGACATGTGGATAGGTACCTAGGTACCTTTAGCAGCCGTGCCCCGCCTTTTACCCGTTGACACACCCGGGTGCCGTGCCGGCGTCTGACGGCTTCGACCCGACGTCCCGTAGTCCAGGAACCATCCGGAACGATATGGTTATTGGTATTACTTCAGAAATCTCTTATATGTACAGAGGACGACCTTAGAGATTCATGTTGATCCTGGACTCGAGGCTGCTGCCAGCTACACAGGAGCTATGTAATCAACAAGATATCATGCGCAAATTCATTTCCTTGATATGTAAGTTGCCAGCTGCCCAGTATTTCTAACATACAATACCATAGACATTTCCTGTAAGTACATGAAGGAAGAAATAATGAACAGCACTCTCGAAAATCTCCCTGGTCCTCCCACTGTAGTGGAAACCATTGCAAGGCAACCTACTTCTGGATCCCCTTCATGACAGCCACAAACAAGGCCATCACTCCAATGCCAACTCCAGCGACGGTGAATCCGGCCTCCATGTTCTTTCGAACGATGCCAATGAGGGCGCTGAGAAGCAACCAAGAGGTAACCACCATTGCGGCAGCAATTCCGACCGCCGTCTTGCTCATTTCGTGCTGGATCAAAATGAATTGCGGCTGCGCCGCGTTCACGAGGACGTCCGGGAAGCGATCCTCAAAACGGCCACAATCTTTGCTCAAGGCAGGACGTCGAAAGAACGCCGTGAGCTCGGGGGAGTACTCTTGTACAGTGACGATGACCTCGCGAGGCAGAGTCGCGGCCTCAGGATCTCCGTTTGAGCCGCCGACCTATGTTCGTCAGTATGGCCCAGGATATGATGTGACCCCATTCACAATGGAAGAACAAGCCAGCAAGGTGGTACAGAGTGAACTTACAGCCGAGATATCTGCCTTGTGCATCGACCCTTTGGCGAACAGGTTGGAGAGATGACCGCGGGGGGCCGCGGGGCTGCGGCGGTATTCCGCGGAATCCAAGAGTTGATGGATTTGATCCATTGTTTCTTCGACCGTTTGCAGGCTCCCAATACGGAGATGGAACAGCCAGAACGTGCCATGCTTCCCGGCGACGACCACGGGAAGGACTCGCAAGGTGGCTGGGACAGGGTCCAAAGCCACATCGCCCTCATTGTTGATGGCTGTCATGATGAAATGGCGCCGAGAGAAAGCTTGTGGTAGTTGATTTATACAAGAGAAGGCAACTGAAGGCAACCGGATCTTGAGTTTGGAGAGAAAGGTAGGATATGCAAACCGTGTGGGAAACCACGAATATCAATAGTGGTTCGCCATCGAGGCAAGCGAGCCATTGCTACAGAGCTCGTCGCATTCGAGTCGATGTCTGCGCCTTGTCGCAATTGCTACGAACCCATGACAAGTTATCTTTCCTCCCCGTAAGAGGACCTGACTGTGTGGGTGTGTGGCCTGGAGTCCAGTTATGGTAGCCCCTGCTGGTCTCCTCCAACTTGGAAGTTCTATTGGGAATCCGGCCTGGCCGTCGAGATGTATTCCCCAACTAATTCGGACTGCTGGCCTACATTGTGCCCAATGATTCGCATCTTCCCGGGGCCCTGGTTGATGAGGCTGTCTTCTACGAGCTCAAAGTGGCCTGAACGGTAACAGTCGTAAAGCTAGCAGGAGTTTTGATGCAGCCTGCTGGTAGTCTTATCCAAACCGGAGCGGCCACCTATGGTGGATGGGGCCATGTACTACCAACAGGCACGGGGAAATGATTGGTAGTGCAGCTGAGGTCCCCGGCCAGTTCAAGTCTGGAGCAGGGGATGCATCGAGTCGTTTTAGAGGGGGAGGGCTGCTCCTCGTCTCAATTGCGCCGAGCCAAGCCAGCCTGCTCCCATTCGCTGACGCAGTTCGACGCAGCCGCGACGAACAGCAAGCGACAGTGAAATAGAAAAAAGGGCACCTCAATAAGACCGCGGCTCTTCTCCCATAATCATTTTAGCTGCTCCCAACTAAAATACCCCACTCTCTCTTGGTTCGTCTCCTCAATCACTCGAAATCTTACTGTCATGCCGTCCATGTTAGAAGAGCATTGTTGGTGATGTACACTGGCCCAACAATAGGAAGGTATGTTTTACTTTTGCCAGACCAATGGGTGCTTGTTTCTAACTAGGCTCCCGAGATAGGAGAACATCGGTTTCGTCGGCTATCAGTAGCTGCGTAGAGTCTCTTCCGTCTCGAACTCCGGAAGAAGCCAGCAAAGAACGGCCGATGCTAGACATGTACCTCCGGGAACGCAAGCAAGGAAGCGTCGCAGAACGACTATATCTCGTCGCCCAGGACCAGAAAGAAACCACAGAGGCCTTAGCAGACTGGCGGTCTTCGCAGACTGCCAGTTGTAAACTTCATAATTGGCAGAACGTCTGGAACGACATTCCCTGAGGTTGTCGATCACCATGGCAAAACGCCTTCGAGATGGCGACGAGGATCGATGGAATAATGCCGATAACGGAAGACCGGATGATGTTCTGACTAGGGGCTTCCGCTCTTTCATGAAGGGCTTTCGCGCACTTTACGTGGAGTTTCGGATTGAGAAGGGATATACGGCCCATCTCGTGAACATGTGTTGCCCGGTTGCGCTGTTCTGGTCTGATAAATACACCGATGGCGTGAACTCTTGCCATGGGCTGGGATTTCCATCACATCAGAAGCTCAAGTACGTCTTCTGGTACAGCCCTCTATGCAGAAACACGTTGAATAACCATAACTGCCAGCGAACATATAGCGCGTCAGCATAGTCCAGCCCTTGCCAAAAAGGGAGGCAGGACAGCGCCGCTTCTGGACTGCAAAAGATACGAGGCCTGGAGAAAGAAGCCAACCAGGAAGGGCTCTGCGATGGGGAAAGATGACATACGAGAAAAGTGGTGGGATACTGTGCAAACCCTAGGTCTGGCAACGAAACCAGACAACCTCCCAGAGAACGGTACTACCTTTCATGCAAGCCATGACGCGAGAACCTTTCTGACACCTTTTACCAGCTCATATGGCATCTGCCGCCAACCAAATACCCCTCATGGACGGATTCATAGCGTGGGGGCTTCGCCGCGACCAACTTGTTCCTATGGTTGATGCTTCGACACAGACAGACTCTCCTGGGCCCGTCGTCTACAGGGACCCAACCACGACAGCACAAAGACTCAGTGAAATGCCGGCTAGTAATGTGTCATATCAGCAACTCGGACCGAATCATGATTCTGGCTACGGCTCGATGGGGCACCAAGACCATCTTGACGATGACAAGACGCCTCAAACAGACGGTGAGCCGCAACAACCTTGCACGCAATATGCTGAAGACAAGGAGGATTATTTCCCAGAAATCACACAGTTCAACATTGATAATTGCGATTTCTCGGCGGAAGGAGGATCGCTCAATGCTATTCTAGAAGATGCAAACGATTTTGATATATCTGAATTTGTAAATCTGCCCTAGATCAGCTGTTAACATGCAACATTTATTCTATTCTCTGCACAGAATGTTTCTGTTGCTTTCTCTGGTCTCCCTTCTTCTCTGATACTCTCGAGAGCTCTCTCACCGTCTAATCTTGCTGATAAGGCTGAAAGGAGAGCCATTGGGAGAAGCAGGATGGGAGGGCTTTAGAGGGCAGGCCTCAGAGGAATACATCGTGTACCCAGAAGCACCAAGCCAGCTTGAGTGCTAGGTCAGCCATAGGGCTCATGTCAGCCACACAGGATTAAGAGGAATATAAGGAGGCAAGGCCAGAGAGAAGCGCGTGGTCAGCAGGTAGTAAATCTGGCCAGCAGTGCCGGCGTCCGAGGGCTCACGGCCTCGACGTATCATGACCCAGAGCCCTCGCCTAGAACAGAGCAATCTTTGCCGGGGCGGAGGATATAGGATATGCTGGGCCTGCAACTGATACAGTGGCTTAGGTCACGGCCGTTCACCGGGGCGATATTGACTACGAATCGACCACGTATCAGAGTTGGCGCCTTGCATTCGATGAAATGATAAGTGGTCTGGTTCAGTCTACATTTGAAGAATCGGACAGTGCTGGTTGAAACCATTATCAATATCTTCAAGTACCCGGCGGAGGCGCATCGCTGCGACTACCGTCCGCATGCCAACACAGATCTCCCCACCCGATGTTTGACTCCGTGGTATATATACACACACGCAACGCACCCATGCCCAAAAAGAAATGCCACCTCCATAACCCGAATGTCTCCAATGTCTTCTCCGCAACCCCAAAACTCCTACTGTGTGTTTGCGTTTGCGTTTTCTCTGTTGTCTATACGTTACTTTCATGCTTGGGGCCAGTTGGCCGTGGGCCCGGCGGTGCCGTTCATGCCCATGTTGAGAAGGGCATCAATATCGCTCATGCCCTCGTTTTCGAGAACGTTCATCAGTTCCATCTGCTGCTGTTGGCTGAGACTGCCCTGGCGCTCCTGCGACCAGTTGAAGGGCTGGCCGCCGCCGAGATGATCAAGACCGAGGCCAGGATTCTGGTGGTTGAACCCGTTGACCTGGAGGGAGTCGCCGAAAAAGCTGTTGCTCATGGAGCTAAAGGCGTCGGGGTTGATGAATGGTGGTGGCGGGTTGAACCAGTCGTTGACTGGGTTGTAAGA